GGTCGACGACGGTCGGCGGTTATCAACGACGAAGATCGGCGGTGATCGACGACGATCAACAATGATGCTAAGCTGCAGCTTCTCCTCAATGTCTTTGGCTCTCTCTTTAGACTTTAGCCCCCCCTCCCCCACTCATGTGAGGCGTGGGGGTCTACTTATAGTGTTATGGGTATAATTAATGCAGGAATATCAACTATTTTGATCGGACGGTCTAGAGAGTTTCCCTCAATCTTGCAGCTTTTAATGGACATTTGAGTGCCTTAATGAAATGACGGATTTAAGTGATCTTAAGCTCGTTGGATTTTTCTTGTCGAGAAACTCAATTCGAGTATAAGCTTGCTAGTGTCGATATCTGTTTGACCTTCCAAATGTGTCTGAAAATCTTCTAAGAGTTGTTTAATGACTTGATATGAGCTTGATTTAACTTGAATTGGGCTAATTTTTATATCATTAGGTCTGTCTCATTAAGCCTGTCAGTTTGACTTTAAGTTTGCTGAAATCAAAATTCTGTATGAATTTTTATCAAAATTTGAATGTTTCTTATTCAAAATATCATCTTTGGATCCGTTTCATGTCTCTAGAATCGTGTCAGATGATGAAATTTTATTGATATAGTATCAAGTATATATAATTCCTTCTTATTTTTTCTATTTCAATGATATATTTTGAACTTATTTATTCTATTTAATCATAAAAAAATACCTACTATAAACTATTATTATCTTGTCTAAATAGCATAAACTAATTATTAAATAATAATTTAAAATTTTCTTAATTACTAATTTGTTAAACTTCATAAAAAATATTTAGTAATAATTTTATATAAAAAATTTAAATACTCATTCAAATTTAAATTTAACCATCAATTCGTTGAAGTATTCATTTTCTAAAAAAATTTAATCATTCAACATAAACAAATCAAATACATGTCATTTTCTAAAAATTTTAATCAAATAAAAAATAAAAATATATATGAGAATTTAGCTCCAACTAGATTTAAATATCAATAACTTATAATCTAAAAAAGCCAAATCCAGTCTGGTTCAGGATATATTCGGCATGGCTGGATTATAGTCCTATTGGTGGCTAGTGCCGGCAAGATCAAGGGGCTACGGAAAAAAAAAATTGGCCCGAAATCAAAACCAAAAAACAAAAAAAAAAAAAAGTTTTCTGAAGCTTTCGTTCCCATCACAATAGTAATGTCTAAGATATTCACATATATAAAATTTTGTCTAAATTCGGTGAAATTTCATATACAATAGTAATGTACAAAGAGTAGAAACTTATCAAATTAGTATGAACACTAAGTATATATACATATATATGTATAAGGTCTCTCAATAAAAGTGATTTTCAGGAGGAGAAGTGTGGGAAGTAATGGAATACCAGAATTTCAGAGAAGGATTCAGGGAAAGTGAAGCCTTTCATTCTTCATTTTTGCGCCTGGGATTCTTCAGCTTCTCCAGGTCCTGAAAAAATCAGCAAAATCATCAGTGTTGAAGTAACAATAACCAATAAGAAAAGTGGTGGTGAGAGGAAGAAGGTTGTGAGGCAATGGTAATAGAGAGCCTAACTTTTGCTTGCTAATTAACAATTAAAAGCTGTAAACCAAAGCTGAAAACAATGAGTTCAATTAATCTAGAATGACAATGTAGATTATCATATAATGAAAATGAAGGAGAAAATGTGAAAATGGTCCTCTGAATCTTTACAGGGAGTCATTTTTAGGAATCCTCCATCCCCGTTCATTACTATAGAGAACCAAACGAAATGTCAATCCAGCCTCATTTCAATCCACAATAGTTTAATCGACCAATCTTACTGATACATATTTTGCGCAACACTTTGGAATAATGATTCAATAAAATTTACTTTCTAGTCATCATGATATTCTTCGAGTGCATCCATCAAAGTCTAAGCCACCATAAGCTCTTTAAAATCAAAAAAAATCTTCTTACCTCAACATCTCTGTTACATTTTTTTTATCATATAGTAATTTTTAGACTATACTTCTAATGTTACCCATCATCCTATCATTTCATTTTTCTCACTTAAATTGGTAATCAGCAATTTCTTCATTGCCTAACACTTAGATACATAAAATAAATACTATAATGATTTTCTATACTTTATAATGATTTCATGAATTTTATCTTTACATCATCATGATATTGTAACATTGCATAAAAATTGGCATAGCTATCATAAGCTCCTAGCATTAAGGATAGTCTTCCCCTCCAGGCATTCCATCTACATCTCTTTTATAATATAATGCTTAGTTATACCACGCATCATCTTGACATTTTATTTGTCAATCAACTTGACAATCAACAAGTTATTTATTGCCCGACATTTAGATAGATGCTATAGCTAGTACAATGATTCCATAGAATTTACCTTTCAAGTTATCATAATATTCTATTCTTGCATTATCAGTAATGCCTAAGCCGTCACAAGCTCTTAGTATCAAGAATGGTCACAATGAATTGACATCTCCTCGCCACATCTCTTCTAAAATATCTTCACCTTTCATTGTATCCTTCTAATATTTCCACAAATAATCTTAAAATTTCAATTTTGTCAGGCAATTTACCGAACAAGGTCATCATTTCTCAACAATTAGATACATAGCATTGCCAATATAATGTTTTTATCAAATTTATCTTTAAGTCAACATGATAATTTATCATTACATGATACTCTCAAAACAGATATGTTTATTAAAAACTCAAATTTCTCTCCCTATAAATTAAACCTATCATGCTATGATAATTTAGAACAAATACCTAATAAAATTTATCAATTTCACATCTACTAAAATAATATGCCATGTGCTCAACTTTTATTCTACTAATTCTAAAACTCACATGATTTAATAAAAGTTTGCTACACTATTCTAGCATTTCACTACAAAAGATGTCTTACAATAACGAGTGCATGGATAAGACACAAACATTTAACTTTAATATCTCTTGTATATGTTATCATCATCACAATTATCATCATTATTAGCCTTACCACAATTATTTGGGTTGGTTTTACAAATCCTCTTACATTTTATTTTTTATGAGTGAAGTTTGAGGTATTCAACCTATTCATTTTAAAAAAGTTTGTACTTAAACTGATATTTTTTGTTGATCATACTTTTTTCGCTAAACCATTGTCAATTTATATACTTTTTTTTACAATCATTTATTATACATGTCTAAGGCACCAAAGTCTATTTAATCACATTATTTTAATTAAATGTCATTACAACCATTACTCAAATATAATCATCCATTAACTCATCATTCTTAAATTTCCAATACATCTATACTAATATTTTTATTCATTAAACTTAACTATCAACAACTATTTTATGCCCAACAACCAATCCAAACAACATCAGCTTAATTATATAGGCTTTTAAAATTTATCTTAAAAAATTCATAATATTTTGAATAATACATATTTCTTCATTTTAATCATTGAACATTGGCTCTTAAAAAGCTTCCCATTTATATTCTCACTTTTTTATAAAAATATATAAGTTCATTTAACATATCATATTTATGCACAATTTTAACTTCTAATAAAATTAATTGATAATTATTCAAGTCGCATGCCCTAAATTACATATTAAATATTCAATCATCATTACATACATTTTAAGATTTGTGCTAAATTTTTACATATTTCAACAAGTATCTCAAAATATATAACTAGTAAAAAGAATATAACACAAAAACCTAAGCATATAACCAATATAAGGAAAATATAGATTTAATGTTGATCAATGATACAATTATCCTACTATAATTGATAACTCATGAATTACTCTACAACTATTGATATTAGTCAATACTCCATACATTTTTAATAAACACTTCTAAATACTTCAACATAACTTGGACAGACATTTCATTTCAAATATACACCTAATTGATTTTGATGAGATTATTATATAATTTCGTAAAATAACAAAATAAATAGTAAAGGCATCACTTTATTATTTATACTTTGTGATTTATTATCTAAACTTAAAAAATCACTTCAATAAAAGATCATCCTAACATAAAATAAAATTATATATATATCCCCGTAGCAAAATGTATTGAAAGACAATTTTCCTCATTTCATACTTCAACACCTTATTATGAGGCAATTACACTCGAGCACTGCGCTATAAATATTCTTTGAAAGCATGTTCATATCCAATATAAAAAAAAAGACTTATTATTGAGCCTTCATTTAATTATATTATAAATACCAATCAGTTCTCTATCACACAAAGCACTAATTAATTTAATATAGATTTAACAAAATTCTTCAATGATGCACTTCAAATCAATTCTCATGCTTTACTCAAGATCAGTAAAAATTATATGTTGCTCATAATAATTTTCTATTAATAATCTTAATAAAAACAGGGTTGTACTCAAGCCAATATGTTGTGGATTGAACTTAGCTTGGTCACATTATAAGTTTATATTCAGCCCAAGCTCAAACTGAGCTTTCACAAATATGATCATACTAGCAAGTTTAAATTTTAATAAATGTATTTCGCACGTACTTGATTTGTTCATGTTGATTAAATGAGTACTTCAAAGAGTTAATAAACAAACTAAAAATTTTAATGAGTACCAGCATTTAATATTATTAACAAATAATTTTACAAAACTAGTTTATGCTAATTAAATATATGAAAATATATAAGTTGAAAGCACATTTTTCTTGCAATCAAATAATAAGTGCTAACAAACTAGCAAATTGAAATAAATAAATAAGAAAGAATTCTATTCAATTAATATCCACATTTAGATAAAGTTATAATATATTACTATTAAATATATAATTAAATAAGTTCAAATTAAATAAATTTTATTTAGCTAATATATCAGCTAATCAAAAAACATTTAACAAATTACATATTGAACAACAAACAAGTTTGTTCGTGAATGTAAATAAATGAGTTGGACTATGTTTAAAATTTGGTTCATTTAACCTTACATTTTTTAATAAAATATTCAAACTAATTATTTACTAATTTGAACCAACTTAGTTAAGTTTGAGTTTTTTATCAAGTTAAATGGTTCATTTAAAGCCCTAACCACAAATATCACTTCCATGATAAATCTTCCTCTCATGGATAATATAATCTTTGTTATGTTAGCAACCTATCTTACAAGATCAACAATTTTCATCTTTCATACTTAACCGCATTTAGCTTAAAACAATTATTCCTTTTGATTATTTTCTTTATGCTTTTAAAATATACTTTCATAATTACTACATATTATTTGGTCAAACTCTCTCTAAGAATCCCCTTACATTCTTTTACAAAAAATAATAAAAAAATACTAATAAAAATCCCTCAAAGTAAAAAAAAAAAAACCATACCATTTTTAATTTAGTAGCTCCACACTTTCTATAAATAATTAAAGATCTTAGATTCTTAAAATATATGCTTGTTATTGCAAGATCAAAAGCTAATATGAAAATAAACTTCTAATACATTTGTATCACATATTTTATGCCTATTATGAATCCTCCCATAGCATATTTGAAGAAAGTCATCTTAAGGTCTAAGATTTCCTAAACCAAATCTAAAATGAAATATACAAAATCACACACAAGGTAAAATAACAACTTTAAATCCTTCTCGTTTCTCCTTTGTTTTGCCTTAAATCCAAGATGTTAGAAGATAAATTTACAATATTTAGAGAGCTAAAGCACACAAAGAGAGGATGGGACGAAGGGACAGATGGTGGTCACCTTTCTCAATGATTACAGATAGGAGAGAAGCAAAAGAAAAAAAAAATATGAGAGTTTTGGAGGTGTTCGTACGTCTCCCGTCATTGTCATCCGAGCTAGCTTTAGTCTTGATTGTATCACGAGGGTTTCGATTACGAGAAGTGGAATGGGGAAGTAGGCGATGGGTTCAGGAATTGTAAGTGAGAGTTTCAAGTAGGAGAGGGAAAGATGAAGATGGTTTTGAGATTTAAATTATTTTTATTTAATTTTATTTCAATTAATTTATTTATGTAAAAATTAATTATAAAATATATAAATCATAATTATATAGATTGTAGACACGATAAGTAACGACTTCGTGATCAATTAACAAAAATAAATTACATATTAAAATTAAGTTACTTAATAAAAGTCTAATTAATTATTAACTAATCAATTATTAATTACTAAATGTTAAATTATTACTTAATGATTAATTATTTTAACAAATTATTTTATTAATGATTAATCAGTTTAGTAAATAATTATTTATTGATAATTATAATCTGAAATAAAAAATTTAAAAAAATTTAAAAAGACTTAAAAATTACATTATTAATATATAACAATACTGAATTCAAATTTCAACATACTTAAATCCTAAAATATGTTGTCAAACTATTTCATAGAATTTAATTGAATTGAACATCTATAATACCAAACAGTTTTCAGAATTATAGATCCTACTCGCACC